GCCGCCTTGTTCTCCTCCAGTTCTTTATGTCCACAACAAGGTCATGATTGCCTTGTGTCAAGAGCACAGACTGGAGTAAAGTACGAAGCACATCGCTCTACGTTACTTCCTTGCTCGAGAGTTGCAGCAGCGTGGTCAACTTTGTTTTACTTACGTGGCCTCTCGGGCCAACACTGTTGATATCTTGACCAAGGCACTTCACCCTTGTGATCATCAGCGTTTTTGTACTGTTTAGGCCTACTTGGCCTCACTTGCTCACTTCTTGACTTTGCTTGTACTGTGATCAATATACTTATACCTGTATCACTGTACTGCTTGTTCTGATTATATAACGGTGCATGTGAACTAGCCTTGTGGTCATTTGCTTGTGCGTAGTGTGCGTGGTGACTTGGTGATCCACCCTAAGCTTGCTTTTCTTGACTGGTCTTATGACCATTGCTTCTTCTAGCTATCCCCCATTTCAGCTATGGGGGTGTGTCAAAACATATAGGCTTAGATGTTATGTAGGCTATATGGGTGTTAGCACTAAGGGGTACAGAATTTATCTCGATGTTGTTGTTGTACCCCTTCCTTGACCTAATGATCACCATTCCTCCTAGCTAATCTTCACATGGGGACCTCCGCAGCAGTAGGGACCTAGTGGTTCGAGGAGCTTCTGGCACAACAGCAGCCTTGCCAGCTGGGCGCCTCGTCACGATGGCTGCGACGTTGGGCCCTGCCAGTACCAGATGCAGACTGGCCCTGGTGCTTGCACTACCTACAAGCGCCTCAACCACTCTAGTATGTGCTTCTTCAATCGCCTCGAAGACCTCTACCATCGCTGCCACGGGCGTGAGATGGCTTCCCGTGCTGGCAATTATTGATTGGTCACAGATACCGCGTGTTTGAAATGAACATGGTGATGCTTATACTGCCGTGTATGCTCTTGTTGACTAAAGAGCCGATGGATCTGTTTGCTCGCGTGTACTTAGAGAAGGATATTTGCGTGTTGCTAGTGTCAGTGTTTGTGTTACTAGTATAGGTGCTTGTATAATTGCTATCCCATGTGAGACTACTGCTAACGCAACTCTCTCCTTCACGCTTTGTTGATGAAAAATGGCCCCGCCCTCGCTTGGGCGAAGCCGACCTCGAAGTCGGGTGCACGAGAGATGCACCCAGCTGCTATCAGTTGTCGACGCCGACTTGGGAGAGGAATTCGACAATTTGGTCGATTCTGCAGCACCACTGCGAAGCCGCTGACGAGGTGAAGTCGGCGGAAGACTTCAATTTGGCCGGTCGACGAAGGGGTTCGTCCTGAGGGCGCCGGGGACATTACCCGGTCGACTTGGTTTTCTAGTCGACGAGGTTCTGCGGAGGTTCACAGACATCGCCCAAGAGGCTTTGGCGAAATCGACCTACGAGCTGTTATCGCGAGGTCAACATGGCAAATCTGGCTCAACGGGCACGTGGGCAACTTGGCACCTGCACGATGTGCGTGACGTGCACAACGTCCGCAACCGTCTTCCATCACCTGCAAAGTAGGTGCACACATGTGCACTATAGGCACCTGCGGTTGCAACTCTGGCAGGTCGCCTAGCTACAGCGTTGGCAAGCCACCCTTGTACAACGCTGGGATATAACTGACTTTCAACGTTTGCAAGCCGCCTACCAACTATGTCAGAATATGTTGTTTGTGTAGCCTGCAGTGGGGCACTCAATAGTGAGTACAGCCCCTTAGGGTTTGCTATTTGTATCCTACTGCTTGCTAGTTCAATCATCTCTTCTCAATTCTGTTCGTGCACAAGTTCCTAGCTGGTACTTGGCGCCTCCTCGTTCTAGTCCTACTGTGGCCTAGGCTACTAAGCCTAGGCCGTACTCCTCCTATATTTGACAAACTATGCTGGCGCGGTGTCGACTTTACAGTACTGGCAGACCGCCCCGTGCTGTGCTGGAGGTCGACCTGCATGTGTGATAGGTTGCTAGGCCCTTAGTGTAGTCATTGTTGCGACTACCTTATGCTATTGAACTCTTGCCAACATTCCCTGTAAATGCGCAAGAAAGTACACAAGCAAACGCTACAATCATTCGTACTACCCGTGCCCTTCCTCGTAGTCCAACTCTTGGTGTAGAATGTCTGTTCGCATGGTGCAGTGAGCATGGATGGCCCCACAAGATAACTTCATATTAATAGCCGAATAATCACTTCCCTAAGTTGTAGTTTGGCCGACAAGCCGTGTAGATGATGGTGCCCAACCTGGTAGAAGCTGGAGGCGTTGAGGAGACCTTGGAGGCATAAGAGGCTGATGCTTGGTGATGCCACGATGCTCTCAAGTACGGCAGAGCACTGCTGGAGTGGATGCTCCAGGGAACCCGTGCGCAGTGAGCGTGCGAGCATCCCAGTTTTAAAATGGACGATGTGTCTGCCTCTCTCCAACCCGTGCACAACGAATCGACGTCGACAGCGGTGACCAAGTCAACAGTGCAGGAGGCACAAAGGTGACACGTGGAGTGATTCGGGTCGCCGTCGGCATCGGCGGGATGCAGGGGGGAGGGATGCGGTCGACGGCGGCTGCTGGTAGCTCGCAATCACGAAAGAAGCAACGTGACATGCCTGAGTCAAGTGTGAACGTGTGCAAGGCCTTAGCTGAGGCAGGACCTAAGGCGGGAGACGCACGAGCACCTAAAGCTGCAGCAGACTCTCTAGCACCTGGAGCTGCAGCAGACTCACTAGCACCTAGTGCGGCAGCAGACTCACTAGCACATAGAGCAGCAGTTTCTACAGAACTCACTAAGTAGCTGCGGGGAGAAGGTCTCCTGCTAACTCTGTTGCCGCCTCTGTGCAGTACGCAGAAAACCAAAGCCTCCACAACCTAGAAGGGCCCGCTGAAAAACCCACTCGCGAAGCTGCTGTGGGGATAGCGTGTCCGGGTGAGGCAGTGGCTGCTACTGTCCACCCCTAGCCACTGCGACTACCGTTATAGTGGCCATGACAGGCAGTGGCAGTCAGTAGCAGCGGCGCAAGGGCAGTGGTAGGAATTGCTGTAGTGATTGTGGAGGCTAGTAGAGTACGTGGATAGCAGGGCACAGGTTAGTGTAGTAACAGCAGTAATGTGAGCAATGGCAGCATTTGTACATTTTTTTTTTTTGGGTTGCGAAGCAACCCTTTACGATCGATGTGGCCAAATTTTATTTTCATATTTACATAACATGAAATAAAATTCGTAAACTACAGTAAGTTTCCCATATTGTATGCACGTTGAGCAGTTTTGACTACAACATAAGTTATTTTTTTTTTTCTGAAGTGGTTTTGTGCAGATATGCTGAACTATTTGTATTCTATGTTCTACTATGACCAATGATGCGGTAGTAATGATAAATATATGCATTTGTCAAGTATATATGCTATGGTTTATCTAGGCTGTAGTGGGGTAGATACTATTGGGTACAACATTTCTAGGTTTCCCACTTGTACCCACATTTCACCTAGTCATTTCATTCTTCTCATGGTATAGAGCAGGTTCCCTAGTGGGAACACTTCCTAGGGCCCACCAAAATCGAAATTTTTTTTTTTCCCTGCCCGGAGTGCGCGTCGCCCCTGCCCCCAGGCGCGCCCCGTGTGCAGCCTTCCGTCGCGTCCCCTGCCCTTAGCGGCCCGTCGCGCCCTCTTAGCGGCCCTTCTTGCGGCCTTCTCGCGGCCCCGTCGCCGCCCTTAGCGGCCCCGTCACCGCCCTTAGCGGCCTTGTTGTCGCCCTTAGCGGCCCCGTCGCCGCCCTTCGCGGCCCCGTTGTCGCCAGTCGCGGCCCCGTCGTCGCCCTTCGCGGCCCTTCGCGGCCCCCCTCGGCCCCTCGCGGCCCCTTCGCGGCCCCGTCGCCACCCTTCGCGGCCCCGTCGCCGCCCTTCATGGCCCCGTCGCCGCCCTTCGCAACCCCGTCGCCGCCCCCTCTCGGCCCCTCGCGGCCCCTTCGCGGCCCGGTCGCCGCCCCTCTCGGCCCCTCGCGGCCCCTTCCCGGCCCCGTCGCCGCCCTTCGTGGCCCCTCCACGGCCCTTCGCGGCCTCCTCTCGGCCCCTTTGTGGCCCCTCATGGCCCCTTCTCGGCCCCGTCGCCGCCCCTTTTCGGCCCCTTCCCGGCCCTGCCTCAGCCGCCGCCACCGCTGACAGGAGCAGCAGCCGCCGCCGCCGCTGCTAGGGCTGCAGCCGCGGTCGCCGCCTACAGCAGCAGCCGCCGACGCCGCCGCCGTGACAACCGCCGCCGCCGCTGCCGGGACCGCAGCCGCCGCCGCCGTCGACAGCAGCCGCTGCCGCTGCCGCTGACAGAGACGCCGACGCCGACGCCGCCGTCCCGGCCCTGCCCTGCAGCCGGGGAGCGGCCCTCCTCTGCCGCCCTGTCGCGGCCCTGTCCCTGCCGGCGCGCCTCGGCCCTGCCCCACCATCTGCGGGCCTCTACTCACCCGCCCTGGTAAGAGCACTCCCGAGCAGCGCCTCAGCCACAGATCTGCCCCTAGCCAGCTGCTCTTACTGCTAGCCCGTTGCTGCCCCTGCTGACATGGCTACCCCTAGTGTTCTTACCTTTGATTCCGAGGGTCGGGCTGTCGACTTTGCGGTCTAGGTCGATGATCTGCAGCTTTTCCTACTGTGCGATAGGACAGACGGTCTCTCCCTGTTTGACCTCACGTCTAGTGCCTCTCCTGCCCCTGCTGCTGATGCTGACAGCACTGTTCGCTCATAGTGGGCCACTCGCGATGCTGTTGCCCGTCTAGTTGTGAGTCGTCACTTACCGACCACTGAGCATGCGCACTTTAGTCAGTACAAGAGTGCTAAGACCTTGTACGACGCTGTAGTTGCACGCTACTCTTCCCCTGCCACTGCTGCCCTTAGCCGCCTCATGCTGCCGTACCTGTTCCCTGACCTCGCCGCCTTTCCCACAGCCGCTGACCTCATTACACACCTTCGCACTAGTGACACCCGCTACCGCGCTTCGCTTCATGCAGAGATCTGCGCCAAGACCCCCCCCCCCCCCCCCAATGTACATCACCCTTTACTACATAGTCACCCGGCTCCCTGACTCCCTTCGCTCGGTCAGGGACCACTTCCTCTCTATTTGCCCCACCACACTCACCGTTGATCTCCTCGAGGAGCGCCTCTTGGCAACTGAGAAGAGTATAGTCGCTGTAGGAGCCTCTCGTGGTGACCCTCGTACCCCCTTCTTTGAGGGGTGTTCCCCCTCCCCCCTCTTGCCCTCTGTTGCCTCTGCTGCTGCGGCCGACCTCGTTGGCCTCGAGTCGGTCGGCGCTGCGTCTGCCCCTAGCGGGAGACGCCGCACAGGCAAGGGCAAGGGGGGCAAGGGCGTAGGAGGAGCTGGCGGGGGCGGTGGAGGTGGCGGTGGAGGCGGCGGAGGGGGTGGGGGTGGCGGTGGGAGTGGTGGTGGGGCTGGAGGCGTTGGTGGCGGCGGTGGAGGCGGAGGCGGCGGCGGCGGTGGGAGCGGAGGAGGCGGCGGTGGCGGCAGTGGCAGAGGTGGCGGCAGCAGCGGTGGAGGAGGTCGGGGTGGCTCTACGCAGCGGGGCGGCTTCGGTGGTGGTCAGCGCCAGCAGCAGCAGCAGCGCACTCGTGAGACCCCGTCCCACAAGAAGCTTCGTGAGTGGTACGCTGCGCGTCAGCGGGGTGGGGGTGCTGGTCCCTGTGCCTATGTACATGCGATCGCACTGGTGAGACGTGCGAAGGCTTGCACTCCACTCAGCGCTGCTTCGGCCGCCTGACGGTGCTTGGCGTCTCCAATTCCCTGACGCCACTGAGTTCCCTCGCTGGGGCGAGCTGTTTAGGTCGGAGGTTGCTATCTTTGATCTTGATTATGATACTATTCTTGCTGCCATGTATGCTGTGTCTTCTAGTGATGAGGGTGACTCTTACCTGTGTGTCCCGCCTGAACCGGGCATTGAGGCTGCTGCTCTAGGTGCTGGTGAGGCTGCTCCTCTAGGTACTAGTGCGTCTACTGCCCCAGGTGCTCGTGAGTCTGCTCTCTCAAGTACCACGTCGGCTCAGGCCTTCCACACCTTCACCCTTGACTCGGGTACTTCCCGCTCCTTCTTTTGAGACCGCACCACACTCACGCCGCTTAGTCGGCTAGTGGCGGTCACCCTGGCAAACCCCTCTGGGGGTCCTGTCCTTGCCCACTTCTCCGCTGTTTGACCATGTCCGGCGGTCCCTTCTGGCACCCTGTCAGGTCTTTACCTCCCCTCGTTCTCTACAAACTTGGTGAGTGGTGCTGACCTACAGGATGGAGGGGTTCACCAGTTCACTCGTGCGAGTCACCGAGTGACCCACTGTACTTGTGCTCGGACGGGCCGACACTTGGCCATGTTTACCCGTCAGCCGGGGTCGAGCCTGTACACATTGACTACTGAGTCTCCTCCGGTCGCTGAGTCTGGTCAGGTAGCTACGTCGGGTCAGGTGTTTGCTGCAGTGTCCAAGTCTGGTCGTGAGTCTGCCCCCTGCTCGTGTCGCCTCCTGTCTCACCAGACTCTCCTCTGGCACCACTGCCTTGGTCACCCCTCCTTGCCTCGTCTCCGAGGCATGGCCTCCCGTGTCCTTGTGTCTGGTCTCCCCCGGTCCCTACCTCCCCTTCCTCCGGGGCCTGCCCCTACATGCGTTCCCTGCGTCAAGGGGCGGCAGCGCGCCGCTCCTCACTCCCCCGAGTTTTCTCCGACAGAGGCTCCGCTGCAGACGCTTCACATGGACGTGTGGGGCCCAGCTCGCGTCCGTGGACAGGGTCACGAGCGTTACTTCCTGCTTGGTGGTTGACGACCACTCGCGTTACACCACAGTCTTCCCCTTGCGCAGCAAGGGTGAGGTCACTGGGGTGTTGATCGACTGGATCCGCGCAGCTCGTCTCCAGCTCAGAGAGAGTTTCGGCTCGGACTTTCCTGTTCTGCGTCTGCACTCCGATAGAGGCGGTGAGTTTTCCTCTGACCTTCTGCGAGCGTTCTCTCGTGCACGAGGCATCCGCCACACGTTCACGCTTCCGGCCTCTCCACAGCAAAATGGGATTGCTGAGCACCGCATTGGCATGGTCATGGACGTTGGTGTCAAACACTATACGTGTTATTATTGTGTAGGCTATAGTGGGTTAGCCTTTAGGGGGTACACAAAGTTAGGGCTTCCTACTTGTACTCCAACTTTCATAGTGCAATCACTTCTTCTTGGTAACATGGAATCAGAGTAGGTCCTCCGCTAGTACCGATTCTTAGGGCCCACCACTACTGCTGCTTACTAGCGCCCTCGTGCGCCCCACTGTAGGAGCGCCCTCGAGCGCCTCCCCCCTAGCGCCCTCGTGGCCTCGTTTTTACGGCCCCCTAAGGCCCCGCGACCCGCGACCCGCCCCTCTTAGCGACCCGCGCGCCGCCCCTTAGAGGCCCCACTGGCCCCACCAGGCCCCGTCGACCCCACGCGCCGCCCCTTAGCGGCCCCCACTGGCCCCGTCGACCCTGCGCGCGAACCCTTTAGAGGCCCCGTCGGCCCCGTTTGCCCCGTGCGCCCACCCCTTAGCGGCCCCGTCAGCCCCCCCCCCCTCGACCCACGCGCCGCCCCTTAGCACCCCGCTGCGACACCCACAGCCCCGCCAGAACGAGCAGCCCGAACCGAGCTGCCCAGCCCGAACCGAGCCGGCCGAACCGAGCCGCCCAGCCCGAACCGAGCCGCCCGAACCGAGCCGCCCAGCCCGAACTGAGCCGCGCCGCCCGAACCTAGCCGCGCCGCCCTACCCGAACCGCGCCGCCCTACCTGAACCGAGCCGCGCCGCCTATACTGGACCGAGCCGCCCTACCTGAGTCGCACTGCCTACTGTTTTTAGGGTGCACTGCCTGCTACTACTGCTACTCTACTGCTACTCCTACTACTGCTATGGCTAGCCCTCCTGTGCTAGCTTTCGATGCTGAGGGCCGCCCTGTGAAGTTCGAAACCTGGCTAGATGACCTACACCTCTTCCTACAGCTCACTGCCAAGGAGGACATCTCACTGTACGATCACGCCCTAGGCCATGTTACTGCTCATGCTGCTTCTGCTGACAGCACTGCCTGCTCACAGTGGCAGAATCGTGACGCCCACGCTCGCTTCGCGAATTCGCAACTCCCTGCCGATAGATGAGCGCGAGCACTTTGGCCAGCACAAGACTGCACAGGCACTGTACACTGCTGTCGTTGCCCGCTACTCCTCACCTGCCTCTGCCGCGCTAGGCCGTCTCTCACTCCCCTACCTGTTTCCCGACCTGGCCTCGTTCCAAACAGTCGCTGACCTCATTACGCACCTCCGTACTAGTGCCGCCATGCCCGACGAGTTCCTTGCCAAGAACCCTCCCTCGCTCTGGCTCACTCTCTACCACCTAGTCACCCGCCTCCCTGACACTCTGCGTGCTATCAGGGATCACTTCCTAGCTCGCTTCCCCACTGAGCTCACCATTGCCCTCCTCGAGAAGGAACTGCTTGCAGCTGAGGCTAGCATAGTCGCTGTAGGTGCCTCTCGTGGCGACCCCCGCACCCCTTTCTTTGAGGGGTGTTCCCCTTCCCCCCTTCTTCCATCTTTAGCCTCTGCTTCTGCTGTCAACCTCCTTGGTTCTGAGAAGGTCGGAGCTGCGTCTGCTTCGAGTGGGCGCCGCAGCGGCAAGGGCAAAGGGGGCAAGGGAGGCGGATGTGACGGCGGGGGAGGCGGTGGTGGGGGTGGTGGCGGCGGTGGGGGTGGTTGTGGGACTGGGGGGGCTAGTGGCAGAGGTGAGGGTGGTGGCGGCAGCGGCGAGGGAGGTGGCACGGGCGGGGGCGGTGGTGGGGGCGGCAGTGGGCGCGGCGGCGGCAAGGGAGGAGGTGGTCGAGAAGGTGGCGGCGGCCGTGGTGGTCGTGGAGGCACTAGCGGTGACTAGAGCCTGCAGCATTCTCCATTGCCCCAGGAGCTCCGTGAGTGGTACGCTCAGCACGGGGGGGGGGGGGTGACCTTAGCTGCACGTACGTCATCCGCACTGGTGACCGCACTGGTCAGACGTGTGGGAGGGCGCACCCCACGCAGCGCTGCTTCTCACGCCTCGACGACGCTTGGCGTACTTAGTTCCCTGACGCCACTGAGCTGCCCCGCTGGGCTGATCTGATGAAGCAAAACATTGATATCTTTGCTCTAGACGTTGATGCTATTCTCTCTGCCATGTATGTGATGTCTATTAGTGGAGAGGGTGCCCAGTACCTGCGTGTTCCGCCCGACCCAGGCATTCGACCCGGTGAGGCTACCGCTCTAGGTGCTAGAGTGTCTGCTACCCCAGGTGCTGGTGAGGTTGCTGCTCTAGGTGCTGGTGCGTCTGCCCCCCCCTGGTACTGAGTCGACTGCGGCACTGCACACCTTTACACTAGACTTCAGGTGCCTCCCGCTGTTTCTTTCGTGACCGCACTGCTCTTGAGCAGCTTGCTTGGCCCGTTGCTGTCTCTCTCGCTGACCCCTCTGGGGGTCCAGTCCTTGCGACCTCCTCCACTGTCCTCCCCTGTCCGGCCGTCCCGTCGGGCACACGGTTCGGTCTCTACCTCCCCTCGTTCTCTACGAACTTGGTGGCGGATAGTGCGCTCCAGGACAGGGGTGTCCACCAGTTCACCCCTGCCTACGAGCGTGTGACACACTGCACGTGTGCTCGGACGGGCCGTCACCTGGCGACCTTCACTCGGCAGCCAGGGTCGGACCTGTACACACTGACTACTGAGTCCCCTCAGGTAGCTGCGTCTGCGTCTGCGTCAGGTCAGCTGTTGGCCCCCTGCTCGTGCCGCTCTCTGGCGCACGAGACCGTCCTCTGGCACCACCGACTTGGTCACCCGTCCGTGCAGCGCCTTCGGGCAATGCACAAACGGTATGTTTTCTCTGGTCTTCATAGAGTTCTCCCTCCCCTCCCACCCTCGCCTGCTCCACACTGCCTTCCCTGTGTCTAGGGGGGGCAGCGCACTGCTCCATCAGCACCGATGGGAGTCAGCAACCGAAGGGGGCTGGGGAACCTCCAAGCTCCCAACGAATGTGGTTACCGAGAAGCTCCAGGTCTTCCGCCCGAAACCCGCTGCCGAAGTCGATCCTTATTGGGCAACATGCGGCACAAGCTGGGGCAGACCTCCTCTTTTGGACCATTATGATCCTGACACACCAAAGAACGTACAAGAAGAGTCAGAAAAGGTGGCTTACAAATTCTTCGGGGAAGCAGCGGAATTACCTAACCCTATCGAGGAAGCGCCGCCACCAGAGCAAGGGTCCCAATCGATTGAGGTCATCGGCTACAATTACAGCTACTATTGCATTCCGATGAAAGAAATCCCCGCCTCCGAATGGCCTGAGGCAGCATCCTTTTCGCAAATGCTCATCACAGGTGATCCTGTTCACACGGGAGACACGGATGACGTCATCAAAATTCTCGACGCCGAGTTGAAACAAGACTCCATTCGAGCCTTTGCAGCAGACATCGACGCTGCCGTCGACAAGGGACCTGAACACGGGCAGCGGGACGAAGCAGACATACACAAATTCTATTAGAAGACCATCGGTTATCGCGCAGAACCACAAATTTGGCATCAGCGACTCGAACATCTTCCTCACGTCACTCTTAAAAATTCCCTCAAGGTTGGGGTCTTTGACAAAGACGCACTACTACTCCGTCGAGGAGGCTCCCTCATAGCAGACTCAGCCAACCCGCCGTGCACCGTCTGCCCCACCGCGTCGCTCTCCCACAAACCTTTCCCAGACTTGCCTCCTTGCTATAATTGCCACGAGCCACTTGAGAAAGTCTATAGCGACTTCATGATTCTCAGCCAAGAAGGACTTGACGATGAATATTATACCCTATTCTTCATCGTCGCATGCACTCGCCACGTCTTGGCCGTCAACACTGACTGTCGCTCCCTTGCCTTCGAATGTTTCGTGGCTTGGATGAAGCGAGCAGAGCATCAATCGGGACAAAAGCTGAAGAGCTTCCAAACATATGGTGGGGTAGAATTCTTCTCAACATAGTTCAAGGAACTCTTCATCAAGAAGGGGATCGAGCACCTGGTGCCCCTGCCCTATGCTCGAGAGTAGCAGGGGGTGTCAAACTCATATGCTATAGTGTGTGTAGGCTGTAGTGGGGTAGCTTATATGGGGTACAACACCTTAGGGTTTGGTACTTGTACTCCTCATGCTGCTCAATGCAATCATTTCTCTCGTTCTAGTTTTCACATGGTATCGAGCAGGTTCCCTAGTAGGAACTTTTCCTAGGGCCCACCGAATATCAAATTTTTTTTCCTGCCCAGAGCGCGCTTAGCCCCTGCCCGAGTCGCGCCCTCTTACGGCCCCTAGCGGCCCCTCTCACGGCCCCTCTAGGCCCCTAGCGGCCCCTCTCACGGCCCCTCTCACGGCCCCTAGTGGCCCCGTCGTGCCGCCCTCGCGGCCCCGTGGCGTGGCCCTCGCGGCCCCGTTGCGCCGCCCTCGCGGCCCCGTCGCGCCGCCCTCGCGGCCCCCGTCGCGCCGCCCTCGCGGCCCCGTCGCGCCGCCCTCGCGGCCCCGTCGCGCCGCCCTCGCGGCCCCGTCGCGCCGCCCTCGCGGCCCCGTCGCGCCGCCCTCGCGGCCCCGTCGCGCCGCCCTCGCGGCCCCGTCGCGCCGCCCTCGCGGCCCTTTCGCGCCACCCTCGCGGCCCCGTCGTGCCGGCCTCGCGGCCCCGTCGTGCGGCCCTTGCGGCCATGCCGCGCCGCCCTCGCGGCCCCGTCGCGCCGCCCTCGCGGCCCCTCGCGGCTCCTGAGCGGCCCCTCGCGGCCCCGTCGCGC